CAGTTTGGTTCAGTTAGGAGAGACAGGGCCTTTTTTTAAGGCCCATCGGTAGAAAGAATGGTTTATTGGGGATCAAACTGCTAAGACTAACCTTCTGGTATGTGTGCGTGCATGTATACACGTGTGCACACGGAGAGAGTAAGTAGCAGAATGATGGAAAAGCAAGTGGCCTTCTTGACAGTCAGCAGCAGGGTGGGAGTCTTTGAACTGAAACAGGCTGTTTGAATTGACTGAGAATTAGATTCCTCTACTGAAGGTAGTTGACCTTAAGGGCGGGTTAAAGGAGGTTTGTGGAGGACAGAGCCTTTAAGCTTCTGTTTACCCAGTAACAATAGTCCTTCTATTTAGGACCTTTTTTTCCCCCAGCACTGCAATTGGGGGATGGGGGGCCACTTTGGACTTAAGTGTGTATGAGAGCATAGATATCTATGTTTTACTTTGTGTATGTGGAGATCAGAGGACAAATTTTAGGAGTGTTTTCACCTCTTCTGTGGATTCCTGTGATCAAACTCAGGTTGTTAGGCTTGTATGGCAAGTACTTTATTAAGCAATTTTGTTGGTCCTGCATTAAAATTTTTTCTGCTTTGCCATCAGGATTTGGGAATTTGAAAAGCTATATCATATTTTTTCCTTTTTTAGCTAAAGGGTTCAGCTGGGTGGTCATGGCAAAACACTTTTAATCCCTGCTCTTAGGAAGTAGAGGCAGGTGGATCTCTGTGAGTTTGAGGCCCGCCTGACATACAGAGTTAGTGAGTTCCAGGACAGCCAAGGCTACACAGAGAAACCCTGTCTTGAAAAAAACAAACAGCAAGAAACAAACATAAGAAAGAAAGGGTTCACTGCTTATCCTGTCTGGCCTAGAACTCATAGAAATCCACCTCCTAAGGGCTGAGATTAATGCCCCCACATCTGGCCACCTCATTTTTTAAAGTAGCTATGTAATAGGCTATTGATGTAAGTACTGTAATTAATTTGCTTCACTGGTGAAAAGAGATGTTGTATCCAGTATCTTCCTATCTATCTATCTATCTATCTATCTATCTATCTATCTATCTATCTATCTATCTATCTATCTACAAAGATTTATGTAGCTCAATCTGGCCTCAAACTAACTTCTTTTTTGTTTACATTCATTCCTGTCATCAGTATTTAACTGATGTGTTGGGAAATATTCTTTGCTAAGGATTAAACAGTACATATTTTAGGCTTTCCAAATTCCATATATGATCTGTGCTGAAATCTCTTCTCTTTATATTTCATGGCCTTGGATCAGAGTTTGCTAACTGTGTCCTGTAGCATTCTTGTCTGAATGCCATTCTGTAGCTCATTATATCATTAATTGGCATTTCTCTTGTTGACTGTTGGACTTTCCGTATCTATGGAATGTTTGTTAAAATCCTCACTTTTATATGTATTTGGATGTTTCTTTATTGCCGTTTATGACACAGTACAATGAAGTCGTTTTAACTAGTTTATCCTTTGCTTTTGATTGGTTTACTAGTCTTTGTAGTTACATTTTTGTTTTATATTATTATTCAGTAAATTTGTTTTATACTGTTTTATTGTCTAAAGTATTGGGTATTATATTCTGAATTAAGAATTGTAACATGGCTTCTCTTTATTTCCTTTTAATGTTTGAACTTAGGTATATCTGGAAGTTTCTTCGGTTTGAGTTGCATGTCAGGTTTTTCTGAGTGACTATTTCTTTCTGTCCTGTTCCTTGACTGTTAATGTAAATAGATAACAAAAGTTGCTTGCAATATTTCTTGTTAGTATTGATCTTTTAAAATTTCTTATAGAACTTAAATTGGTGATCTTATAATGTAAATTCACTCATGAAACAGTTTCTGACACACAGTACATGGCTTGCTAACAGTGACCAAAAGCTGAATAGAGAATATGACTTCAGAATGCTGGTAGAATGGTAAAATGCTGGGTTATGTATCTCCCTAATCTCGTATGAAGTTTTAAGTAATTGGAAAAGAGGGCTCAATCCACCTGAAAATATCTCCAGTGTTGCTCATCCTGTGCAGTCTTTTCAGTTCCTGCCTGTTTCTACTGTATGCCATGAGAAAGTAAGCATGCTGACGCCTCACCTGCTACTTCTCTAGTGTGTATTTCCTTTAAGGTTTTAGCGTTGTATCAGATGTGATGGTATGCTCCTTTAGTTTCAGCATATGGGAGGCAGAGACAGGCAGATCTCTGAGTTCAAGGCCACTCTGGTCTACAGTGAGTTCCAGGACAGCCAGCCAGGGAAACATAGAAAAATCAGGTCTCAAAAAAAACAAAAAAGGGGAAAAAAAAAAAGAATTTACCATGTGTTTACCATTTATTGTGTGATTTCATTTTAAATTTATTTATTTTAAATGATTTATTTTTATTTTGTGTACATTGGTGTTTTACCTGCATGTGTGTCTGTTTGATGGTGTCCAGTCCCTTGTAACTGGAGTAACAGACAGTTGTTACCTGCCATATGGGTGCTTGGAATTGAGCTCAGGTCCTCCTGAAGAGCAGCTAGTTTTCTTAACTGCTGAGCTATTTCTGTAGTCCCTATTTATTGTCAAACAGTCTCTCTTTTATGTAGTCCTGGAACTCTCTGTGTATACCAGGTTGGTCTCAAACTCAGAGATCTGCCTGTCTCTGCTTATTGAGTGCTGGGATTACACGTGGCTGTAAAGATTTAGTTTTTAAATTTTATGTATGTGGGTGTTTCCATGTATGTAAGTGTGAGTGTCTGGTGTCTGCAGAGGCCAGAATAGGGTATCATTCTGGAATTACAGATGGTTGTGAGTCAATATATGTGCTGGGAACTGAACCCAAGTCCTTTGCAAGAGCATTAAGTCCTTTCTGAGAGCATTGGGTGTTTTTAACCTCTGAGCAGTCTCTATAGCCCTTTTTGGAAAGCATACAAGGAGATTTTCCCATTTTCGTTATTCCACACTAATTATCAAGCATTCTACTGATGTAAAAATATAAAGGGTTTTTTTTTCTACTTTTGGTTTTGATTTCATTATGCGCTCCAGTCTTGATTTTTTTCCCCAGTTGTCATAATGTTAGTAGCCCCCACCCCCCATTTTTGTAGCTTTGTAAGTAACAGTAGCCATCTTCGGAGTTGTTACCATTTTGTCCTTATAACTTGTGGTAGTATTTATTTACCAGAGTATGTGCTATGAATGGATGCATCTTTCTTTTAAGAATACAGGGGACCGTGGGTGATCTTCAAGAGATATGGAATAGCTTGCATTTTAGAAAAATGCCTTTGTAGAAGGTACCATGAAGGAAAGCTTTATTTGGACTTTTCATAGTTAAGTCTTGGTTATAGAAAACAAATGAAGGATTTTATCAGATTATAGATCCAGGTTAAAGATCAGAAAGCTATTAATGTCTTTTGTCTTTCCTTTACGTTGTTTTTAGCAAGTTCCAGTTTGCCTATTCTTGGACCAACTTAATGTGATTTAGGCATAGGATTTGTAAGAGTATAGTTAACTTTGTAGGTAGTTATGCAGATTTAGTGCACTGAAAATGTACAGGAAGAGATTTGGACAGTTATAATTAGATACTGAATAGAAGAAATGAATTTTAGAGACATAAAGTATTATAGTTGATAGAAATTATTCCTGGGAAAGGAGAATTAAAATAATTTTCTCTCAAATAATTGTTAGTTGGTGAATCATTTAATCAAGTGAGGGAAAAATAAGAACTACCAGTTGAATGTAGGTACCTAAATCTACCTTGGGATCTATTTATTTTTATTTTATATTTGTGATTTTTTGTTTTTTGTTTTTTGTTTTGCCTGGATGTTGTGCATCCAGAAAGAGGGTGTTGGATTCCTTTGGAACTAGAGTTACAGAGGGTTGTTAGCCACCCTGTGGTTTCTGGGAATCAAACTCATATCTTTTGGTAGATCTTAACCATTGAGCCATCTCTCTAGTCCCACTAAATCTGTCTTGGAAGAAAAAAGTAAGTTGAAGCTTGGGTATAGCTCTGTGGGAAAGTGCTTGTCTACCATGAAAGAGTCCCTGGCTTTCATCCTGAGGCACCGTGGTTCTAAAAAAGAAAGAAAAAGTCAATAGCACAAATCAAAGTAAATGCAAATGAATAAAATAATTTAGTCTGAGTATATGAAACAGTCCAGAATCTTGAAGAACTGATATTGAAGCTACAAACAGATGGAGAATAAAATACATCAATGTATAGGAAGTACAGTATCAAAGAGATAAGTTTTATCCAGCAGGGATACACAATTGGATATGACTATGATGTCAATGAGGGTAATTCTGTTGGGAAGTTCAGAGACCAATGAACTAATGCTTGGTTGTTAAAGTAGAACAAACTAGGTAAAACTTTTTTTTTTTTTCTTTAAACAGGTTTGTGAAAGAAAGGTGAATCTTTGTAATAGGACAGACTTCAGCATATAGTTAATGAAGGCTAGCAGGATAGCTAAATTTATTTTTTTGTTTTCGTACTTAGCATAGTAATCCTTAACTTTATTGAATCTGTGTTAGTGCAGAGAAAGTGAGATTCTGGGACTAAAGACCTGGGTTATATTATAGTTAGTGTTTTGGTCTCAACTTTGCAGAACATGTAGTATAAAAATTATAATTATTACTTTCATATTCCTTTCTATGTTTATTAATTTGAATAGCTTTTTAAATACATAATTGTCACTAAGCCTCACCAAAAATTTATTTTCAAGGTGAGTATTAGATTGCTTTATATACAGATTGAGAATTTTTTGCTCTGATTCTGAAGTTGGTGCTCTTTTCTCTATATCAGTTTGTTTTCTTTGTAACCTGATGTAGTCTTTCAAGTTTAGGTTTCCTGTTTCCTTAATTGTCAGATAGGGATAATATCATCAGAAATGTTAAATGAATACTATTGTAATACTACCTATATTTTGTTTGACAAAGAAGAAATATATTGGGTTAATGGCAGACAGACCTTATAACTGCAGTCATCCTCACACTGTCACTTGTCTAAACAGTTTCTTACTTTTTAAGGTGGTGTCATGGATACAGAAATGTCTGAAGACACAGACCACAACTTAACTCCTACCCTTGCCAGCATGTCTTATGGAATGCCGAATCAAACAGGATCTGAGAATTCATTGCTGGATGAAGATGATTATTTTTTGAACTCTGGGGATCTTGCAGGAATTCCAGTCGTTAGTAGTGACAATGAGGATGAACAGGATTTTAGTTCAAAGGACAATCTTGTTTCTTCAATTCATACTGATGATAGCTTGGAAGTAGAGAGAAGAGCCTCTCATCATGAATCAGATAATGAAAATGAAATACAAATTCAAAATAAATTAAAAAAAGACTTTCCTAAACAGTTTGATCAGGTTTCTGTCTTTAAATCAATACGAAAAGATTTTTGTTTAGTAAGAGAAAACAGCAAAGAGACATTTCCTGGAAAGGAGAAAAATAGAGACCTAACTTATCATGAACGTGAAAAACGGTTGGATAAACCCCATAAAGGTTTGGATTCAAGGTTGAAAAGCAGTTTTTTTGATAAAGCAGGTAATAATTGTTGGCATAGAACCATAAAGCACAATAACAAAATACTGACAATGGAGCTTTTATTACTCTTTATGTTAAGGGAAATATGAACAGTTTTAAACTCCTTGTAAGCTCTCATTTTTATTTTCTCCTTATTCTATAAAGTGATTGAATTTCTCCTCATAACATTTAGTTGTATTGTAATTGGTTGAAAGCGTATTTTTTCCTCTTCTTGGGTTGCAATATTTTGATGAAAGGCAAGATGCTTATATCACTTGTTCAGTTCCTTTGGTTGAATATTAGAATCTGAAGTTGGACTTAGCATCTTTGTCCTGTAAACACTGATTTAAATTCTTACCTCACCCGTTAGTCTAAACTAGGGAGTTGAAACAAATGACCTCCACGTTCCATTTTAGAACTTCATTGAAGTTCCTTTTGATTCTCTTTGCACAGTGCACCCTGTATTCTAGCTCCAGTTCTGTTCTTGAATAGATCACACATTTCTTGTATGCTTTCCCTTCTTGCTGTTTCATTTTTCTCTTACTGTATATATACACCTGTAAAGTTACTTCTTATCCAATGAAGCATAATTCATAAATCTTTCCTACTTTACAGTCATTCCCAAGAATGGTTTTCTTACCTCTATTTCCACAGAGTTTTGTTTTATGCCTTATTTATAGTATTTGTTGGCTTGTTTTGTTTTTTCTTCTTGAGAGCCAGATTGTATCTTACTCATCTTTGTATTCTTGGAACTTAGCCTTTTACAAGAAGATTGTAATCCTTCACTAAAAGTTAAATTGATGTTTAGGAAGAAAGTACCTACACCATATCAATCCATGTATTTCTTTAGGCAATCCTAGGAAATGTATTATAGAAAGAACAAATCAGTATTGTGAAGGACAACTGTTTAATAGAATATATATTATGAGCAAGGGTATATTGCATTTCTAATATGTGTGAATATGTATATATATACATATATATATATATATATATATATCACATATGTATTGACAGATGTTGAATTCTAGGAGTCTTTTTTCTGAAGGAGCATGTGTAGTAATAGAAAAGACAAGTCGAGGTAGATAGTAGAGGTGTTAATGATGAGTTGAAGTAGACCAAGATTGAATGTGTAAGATAAGATAATGATAGAAGAGTATATGTGGGGCATTGCAATATTTAAATAACTGGGGTGTTAAAGTGATTGCTTTTTTTCACTTTTGAGACAGAGTCTTAATCTTCAGCTCAAGCTGGCCCGGACTTGCTGCAGTTCTCCTGCCTTGTCTCCTAAGTGTTTTAAATAGCAAGTGTGTGAGCCACTACACCAAACCTAAATTTGCTTCGCTCCCTGATGTGCTTTGTTTATATTAGACTCCAGACCTTTTGGCATGTTAGACAAGTGCTCTCCTGCAGAGCCACATTCCTAATTCACGAAATTCTTCTGAGAGTAACATAATAAACAAGGGATGTTTTCCTATAGAGGTGAGTTTTGAACTGAGCAGAGTCTGAAAACTTTAGTGTGAAGACAGGAAACAGAGACTTGGGCAACTTAGCAGAGCTGCAGAGGAAAGCAAACATTTTTGAGAGCGTAGTAAATGAAGTCACCAGTCTGTTTGAGCAAAGAAAGGTATGTGGTAAGGATGAATGGTAGTGAGACCAGGTTGTTTGGAACTTAGAATAAAACTTTGAGTTCTTTGGAGTCTAGTTCACTCTTTGTTGGAATAGAGAGATAATTTCAAACAATAGCTTTTTAGGTCATTCTTTGTAAGATTAACTGTTATTCATATACATGTGTTTGTTTGTTTGTTTTCTTTCAATAGCTAATCAAGTTGAAGAAACATTACATACTCATTTACCACAAAACCCAGAAACAAACTTTAGGGTAAGTTTTCAGTGTGTATGTAGATTGCTGTTAACTGTGGCAAGTGTCAAAGTTTTCTTTATGTCACTTTCAAAATTCTGCTTGTGTTAGACAGAGCACTGAATTTTTTTTTAAGTATTATTTGCATAAGGACGTCTTTGGAGATATTCCTAAAAGCTTTGGCTCTTAGGTTCTTTATTTGCGTTTGATATTTAGACCTATAGCATATCAACTTTTAGGCATAGGGACACTAATGTATGTCCATAGAATTCATTTCCAGTGAGCTTTTCTTTGGGTATTAACCTGAAGAGGACTCACTTTAAATTTGAATATTTATTAATCCTTTATATTGTGTTTTAGGATTCCAGCTACCCATTTGCCAATAAAGAATCCATTGGTTCGGAACTGGGGAATTCCTTTGCATCAAATATTAGAATTAAAGAAGAACCTTTGGATGATGAGTATGACAAAGCAGTGGCGCCTCAGCAGGGACTACTAGACAGAGTTAAAGATGAACCTGAAAATGCTCAAGTAAACATTTGACCTTTCCCCCTTCTTGTTTCTTTGTGTTCCACACATCAACTTACTCATTTGAAAGAGGAAGTACTTGAGTGAAATAGTTTATTGACAGGATGAAAAGAGTTTGTGATTGAAGCAACTTGAATTGCTTTGCAAGGCTGTAGCAAGAATTACATGAAAATGTACCTGAAGGGTAATTAAGACTTTTAATCTTCTTTGTCTTTTAATAGCTCTGTGGCTTTTGTGGGCATTTTAGTACAGAGTTGGGAGACTAGTGAGTTTTTGAGGTTTCAAGACTAGTGCAGCAGATGAGGCTGAAAACCTAGGAGGAGGGTGGCACATGGGTTTATGGAGTGATTTAATTCATAGAGCCCTTTACTATTAATGAGGTACAGGTTAGGTATGCATTTAACTGTCTTTCAGGAGGGCTAATGGACATAATTATCTTTGGAAGGGTTAATTGATTGAAGAACCAATTTATTGGAAAGGAGGCGTTGGTGAGTGATTCATGATTCCAAGTTTGAGATATTTGAGTAGTAAGGGCAAGGGTCTAGCTGTGCCGATTCAAGGCTGCTCTGGAAGTAAATCATAGGAATCCTGCATCTGAAATCCTACAGTCAGTTAAGTTACCCATGCAATTGATAGCATTGCAGTGGTTGGAATGGAAGAAAGAAGCTGCATCACAGGCTGAAGTCACTGTGAAATGTAGGAAGGGATTTAAGCAATAAATACATAATAGTAGCAGCTATTTGAAGGTAGTCTGTATTTTTGTTCAGATGTCATGATTTCAGAAAGTGTAAGACAGAGATTACACAGATTAGCTATTGTTATGGAATAATCTCTAATTTAAGGAGACTTACCTTTCCCTTAGTTTGCTATCTAAGGGAGTTTGTGAATGAGACTTGTAATGAAAGGGCATTTTTCATGAAGGCTTCTTTGAGCAAGATTTCTCAACCTCAGCACCATTGATATTTAGAACAGGACCATTCTTTGTTATGAGGACCTCTTTGGTGTATTGCAGGGTCTCTAGCACATCCTTGGTTTTTACCTATGCTTGGTGCCACTTGCAACTCTCTCCCTCTCCAGTTGTAACAGTCAAAAATATCGTCAGACACTGCCAGATAATCCTGGGGAGCAAAATCATTTAGTATAGAGAACTACTGTTTAGATTAAGGAGAGAAAAGACTAGGCAACTATTGAGTGTAGGATACAGAACGAGAAATGGGATTTTTTTTGGGTGGGGGGGGTGATCACAGGAGCCATGTGAGGCAGACCATTCAAAAGTAACAATACAGTATACCAGAAACAGCATATTATGGCCTTAAAGGAAAAGAGACATTTCCCTTTAAAACCTGGTGAGGAGCTCTATTAAAGATAGCTTAAAAGTATGAAAAAGCTAGGTGGTGGTGACACACGCCTTTAATTCCAGCTCTTGGGAGGCAGAGGCAGGTGAGTTTGAGGCCCACCTGGTCTACAGAGTGAGTTCCAGGGCTATACAGAAAAATCCTATCCTGAGAAACCAATAAGTAAACAAAAAACAAGTAAGTGGGGGTATGAGAAATAGCTGCCATGACATGATGAATGGAGAAACCTAGAGAAGAACACCTTCAGAGAAATAACCCCAACAAAGGAAAATCTCTGGTTTTTATCTTTTCGTGGTATGGCAATAAGTTTCATACCACATGATTTAGTTTAGCATAGCATATGTGACAAGGACCATGGAACACCATAAATTAGGAACTATTCGTCCAAAACATGGCTTATCAACTCCAGAGAGAGTTCAGTGAGGCCTATCCTATTTCTTCAGGCTGTGGGGTTTGACCTCTTAAAGGAATAGGCCCACAATTGCACATAGAGGTAGTTGAGAACTCTGACAAGAATTCAGCAATACTAAGGGAAAGGTAGATGATAGGATGGTGGTAGATCTACATGGCTATGAGTGCAGTTGGCTCAATTTGGATAGTAGAAGGAATCTGAAAATATTTTAATAGATGGCAGGTTAAAAGTAGTTTGTAGAAACAAGAGAAATGGAAATCTTGGGTACTTGGATTAGGTGTAAATGTACTGATTGCCATGTATTCTTGTGAAAATAATATCCATGTCTTTGTACAAGGAAGCTCTCTTAAGCCTCATATCCCCGTGTAGACGTAGGAAATTACTAAGAAATCATTATGCTGGCAGAGCACTAAAGACTTCTTTTTCTCTTGTATATGACTCATGGAGCTTTCCTCAGGATAAATAGTTGGGGATAGAAGGCATCAGGAAAATTATTAGTATTGTTTTTAAAGCAGAGCTTCTAGTGCCTAGAGAGTACTAATAGGATGGAATGGATAGCAATGCCTGTGTTTTATATACTTACACAAAGTTACAAAACGTTGTATAAATGCTGAATATTGAGTTTTATAATGACTATGGGGAAGAACTGCTTCAGGGGCTTACTACTTAATTTGTTTGGTCTTTTGAGAGTTTACAGTCCTGTGGATAGGTCCTGGTAGAAACAGGGTCACAGAGTGGTCTTTGTCCTGTCCCCACAGTAGGGCAATCCTAGCACATGAGTGGCTAGAAGTAGATTTTTCTGAGCAGTTGTTTCTGTTTTCAGTCAAACCTCTGGTAGTTCCAGAAATCTGCAGGAGAGGAGTCCAAATTATAACTTTAGGTGCTGGTTCTTTCCTTTTCATTCTCCTCTTCCCCTTTCCACCTACATTCTACTCCCTCCTTACTGCCCTATACTTTTCCTCCCCATCACTGGAAATCTTATTTATTTATTTTTTTTTTGCTTTTTCAGTACTGTATAACACTTTATTAATTTTATGGGTTCTCCATAGATTAGAAGTGGAATTACAAAGAATTATTCATTTGGTCCCACAAACAGTACCCATAAAGTACTGACAGAATTCGTCCCTGTGGTCACCCTTTTCTTTGATCATCATTTACTAGTGATTTCTCTCTGTGCTTAACTTTGTAGTTTTGCTTTCAATGTGCTTTTTACTGTTCAAGTTGTTCTTCATCTAGACCACTAGTGTGCTGAAATGTCTGTATATGTATCTCAATGCTAACCCATTGCTTTTAGTTACTTGTTAGTCATCTTGCTTCTTTTAGCTAGTATAAAATCATTTAGCTTTTCAGTTTCATTTATTCATTCTAACCCCATTACATTTTACTATAGTATTTTCTGTAGTTAAAAAAAATAGTAGTTATGTAGCATATTGTTTTATCCTCCTAACAACTGTGTGTGTGTGTTCTAAGTAGAGAATATGTTATCCTGTGTCTACACTAGGAAGCTAAATTTCATAGGTTAGTTATTCAAGGCCAAATGTTCAGGAAAGAATTAAGTTGATAATATAAGTCTTATTCTTGTTAGATTATTATTTTGTAACTAACTGATTTAAGAAAAAAAAAAAAGCAGGGGGTATGTTCTAGGTAGGGTTGTAAAGAGAAACTCTCAAGGAGAGCCAAAGACCTCATTCTTCCATCTTTTCCATAGAATCTGAAACTAAGATGTTACTAATGTTGACATCTTCATTATTTTCTATTCTGCTTACAGTAATGAGAGAACTAATTTGTAGTCTTTAGTTGAGATAGATGAACATGGGAAAGCAATACCTAATATCACAGTAATGGTTCATAGACTCTTTGAAAGTATAATGCAGTTGTGGAAATGTTGGAGCTTTGTTTGAGTTATATCATTTATTTGGCCAGTGAAGATGTTTTTTTCAACGTCATTTGTCCTGTGGTATTGATGAGGACTTCCTTTGTGTTCAGCAAGGGAAAGATAAAGCAGGTTTTATTTTGACCTCTGTTTTTTAGTTTTTATTTTGTTTTGTTTTTGAAAGCTTTGGGATCATCAGGTATTTATTTCTCATAAAGAATGGTTAGTTGTTGTAGGGAATACAGACAGACCAAGCATTCTGCCTTGAAGGTATTGTAGGCATTTTATATAGAATACATACAGTTTTATCTCTCTCCTCTATTTCTCCTGCTCCCTCTACCATGAATAATACATATCATTGGCTTAAATAAGTTTCATTAATTTAGGAATTGCCACCACAGAATAAGAAAAGTAGACTGGAGAACCATTGATGTGAACCAATGGGTACTAATTATTTCTGGAATAAAAATTTTGTATTAGAAATATATGCATAGGCATGTCAAAATAAGTCAGTATTTAAAGAAAATTAATATCTGCCAGGTGTGGTAGTGCATGCTTTTTAATCCTAATACTTGGAGACAGGCAGATCTCTGTGAGTTCAAGGGCAGCCCCTGAATTAAATAAAAAATTCCAGTCCATCCTGGGGTATACAGTGAGATCCTGTCTTAAAAAGAAAAGTGGCAGTGGCTAACACCTTTAATCTTAGTACTTGCGAAGCATAGGCAGGAGGATCTCTGTGAGATTGAGGCCAGCCTGGTGTACAGAGCAAATTCCAGGACCGCTAAGGCTACACAGAGAAACCCTGTCGTCGTTGTCGTGTCGTGTGTCGTCGTCCCCC